AACTGACTAGGGCTAAAGATGATGTACCTCAAAATGGGTGCCCTATTGGGCAAGAACGCGATGATAATGGGGACTGTGTGGATATTGATTAATTATTATTTTTAAAGAATTTATGGGTGAAATAAATGTTTCATCAGAGGTCAGTGGTTTTTTTAGTACCTTTCAAGAAACCTTTATAAAGTTAGCATAAACAGTATAAATTGCTTGTATCTACATCAAAAGCTTAAATATTCTTGTACTTGTAGATATGTATGTAGTTTCCTAACGATTTTCTTGGTATTGAGGCGCTTTTAGGGATGTATATGGCACGAAATATAATATCCTTTCAGAAGAACTTCCGCAAATCTGTCAACTGTAATTGGGAGTAAACAAGGTTGCCGGAACTTTCAGCTTCTACGGCTGAAAAATGTTTACAAAATTTCGATATTACCACAGCCAGCTTTCTCTGTTACCGCACAGGTCATTGCAATGTTTTCATGATAAGAAATAACAAACTCGAAGGAAATATTTATTAACTAGTTGAAATTAAAAGATATACAGGGTGTTTAGTGATAATTTCGACTTGGTCATTAATATTTTCTTTCGCATTTCTAAATGAGAAAAATCCTATAAATTTTGTAAAATGAGTAATTTCAGAGTTTTTCTAGGCTGATTGAAGCTCTTAGTAACGACAATAAAAGTTACAAAAATTTAGATAGGAGATCACTTGACTTAGAAACACCACGATTTAAACTAAACATTCAGTGACGTAATTCAGTTTTCTGGGGTCATTACTGACTGTAACTCTGTGTATCTCCGCCGCTGATCGACGTATTTATACATGGTGTAACTTCAAGTGGGGGGCAGGTAAGATTTTTAGGGGTTAGACATCTTAAATTATTCCAAAACAACATAAAACAGCAACAAAATTGAATGATAGGTACGCCGCGAATGATACGCACGAAATAAAAACTGGTTCTATATGAAAACCTGTCTTTGGAGGGGATTGCCGTTCAATTCATTTCGACCAATAGTTTCGCAGAGACACGTGCTTGATCATTGTTGCCACGATCGGAATAATGCAAGTTGTATGATATACACACTGTAATCTAGATAGGCGTAATGCTGTTACGTATGTAAAATCATGATGTGCGCATATGAATTTTTGACTAGTTTGCAACTACATATGCGGGCAAATATTTGCCCGTTTCGCGAGAGCAGGTTGTGGACGTGCTGCTTGCCACGTTAATGAGAAACACATCACTTTTGACACATCCTCATTAGCGTGCTGGCACAGAAGAGCGGCGGACCTTTTGAACTGGTTACGTGGATGCTTCGGTAAACATGGTTTTCTGCGTGCACGAAACGCTAGCACTTGCTTTCTCGAGTGTTTTTAGTTATGTTTTGCTTTGCGAATTATTCACAACCGCTCAAGTCAACGTAATGTAATGGTAGACCAGGGCGGATCTGTCGAAATATCCCACTTTTTGGATGTAAGAGGGGGCAAGCTAATTTTTGCTGGAATACCTTCAGGACAACCCACATAGTGAAAGTGTAGATCCCTAGATCTGGGAGAGATCCGGAACATATTAACAATTGCAAAAATGTTTAAAAAATTAAAAAATATACCTATTTTATCTGAGTTTTTTACTTATATCTTGGAACCTATGCATTTTGGAAGAATATTGAAGAAGAAAAACGTTTTAGAATTTGAATTGAATACTGTAAGTTAAAAATGTTTAAATTTATTACCGATGTTGCAAACTAGCAATAATTGATGAAAAAAGGCAAAATAATCAAGTTTTTGGATATATTTTTTTAAATATCTTAATTGTTCCGAGGGCATTCTAATTTTGGTAAAAAAAAATTTTAGAGAATAATAAAACAACATCAAATTTCATTAAAATGGGTTCGATAGTTTTCGCAAAATAAATTTTTGAAAAAATATTCATATTTTCAAAATGTTGCACAGCCTCAAATAAGGCATCTAGATACTTGGAAATTTTTTCACATAGAAAATACCGCTCAATTTTTCAAACGGTTTTTAAAAAATTTAAATCGGTTGATTAGGATGGCCACAGTAAATTTTTAAAGTTAGTTAGTTTCCTTTTTATTTTTAAACAATTAGATTACATTTATCAATTTGCAAATTAGTTTTTTTCAAAAATTATAATTTTAAGATACCCGTAAAAACTCGTCTTTTTTTTGAAAGTTAAATTCCGTTTGTTGGTTCTCGAGATATAAGCAGTCAAAGTTAATTTATAAACAATTTAGCAATAATCTTTGATCCAGTGGCTTCGTTTTTCCGAGTTCTAAGCTGGAAAAAATTTTCATATTCATAAGTTATCGGCAGTCAGCGGAAAAGCTGTCGCTCGCACGCGCGAAAGGTGATTCAAAACACGAAAAGTGGGGAAGAGGGCTTTCGCTCCGAGACTTAATTCGGAGGTTCAAAATGCGAATGTACGAAAAAAATTACATTATCTCGGCTTCTAATGGACCAATTTCGATTTTTTTTTTATCAATCCGATGTCTCGCGAGCCAAGGAATTTGACTGTAATTAGCACATATTGCTACGCTATTCCACCCTCTACAACTCTACTAGTCAGAAGTCAAAAAATATAGCTGGAGAGCAGCACTCTTAATCTCGGGGTTGAATTTGTCTTAAGTCAGAGCACACAAGGTTACCTGTGAAGAGGAAGTTATTTATTAATTAATCTGTGTTTGCCTATCGTTCACTGCAGGGACTGATGATAAAAGAAACTTACAGGTTAACTCTGTATATTATTTACTAATCATGAGATATATAAGGTTGAACGTCAAATTTTTGTCACAAATATCGTTAGTTATATCCCCCAAAGTGCAGTTGCAAATTGTGTACAGTTAGCTAATTTATAAATCCAAAATCCTTAAACTAATATCATCAAATTGAACTATATGCACTACAATACACATATCAAATAAAGAGTGAAGGATATAGAGATATCTTCAAACGAGGTGTTAAAACTGGTATATTTTCCTACGGCGAGTAAGGTGGTTCCTTGCTAGATCTTTAGGGAACTAAACTGGTCGGTGGTGGGTAGTCCTCCTAATATCAACAAGTGTCTTGTCTCATAATAGCTGTCAACTAAGCGAGGTTATGTCTCTCTAGTAGATAGTAGATCGAGCTCAGCAGGGTGGGAAGGCAGGATGTCCAATAGTATATTTTGTCAACGAATATTCCCCCAAGATCGAGGTGTTATAACCTATGACCATGCCCATCTGTCGTACTTCCAAAATCTTATATTTTCCAAATAATCGTGATAATAAGACGATGAGGGACCAGCTCAAAGAAGCCTAAAAAGTAGATTAATATTTCGATGTGAATATTTTTGAATTTCCAAACCATCAGAGAAAATTATACAAAGAACAATTCTTACCCAACTAAGTGATCTTCTTCTCGTGAAATAAAATCCAGCACAGCTGCTTACGGGATAAACCCTACATAAATATTATTAACGAAATCCAACTTCCACGTTGATTAATTTTCCATAAGTTACACAATTATTAATAATATCTTTCAACGAGCTAATGAAGCTACGAACTGATCCCTTCAACGGTTCAGATTTAAAAAGGATGAACTGACCTATGGAATATGGAATTTTGAGACAATGGCCACGTGACTTAGATTTATTCGTTTTGATACAGTGCAAATTAACCGTTTCATTATACCCTGGTCATCTATTTGAAACTGTTATATTATGTTATAAACAAAGTAATATAAAAAGTTATGAATATATACATTAATAATAATAATTGATAATTAATTTTGAAATGAATTGAGTATATTGCAATTGATAAAATAATTAATTATAAAGACATAATTTAATTATTTGTAAATGTTTATATATTAATATTTTTGAAAACCGTAACAATATTTTGTTATAAACAAAGTTTATTATTTATGCATTAAATATACTGTATATTATTTGTATATTTCAACACTGAATGTGAATTTATTTAGGTATAATTATTACAATTATTTAAATAATTTTTGTTTAAACAAATTAAAAAAAAATCTCTTTGGAAATTAATTTTGTTGTTAGATACAGATAAAATTAAAAAAAAATAGTACTTTAAAATTATAATATTTGAAAAAACTAAATTGCAAATTGATAAATGTAAGCTAATTGTTTAAAAATAAAAAAGAAGAATGTTAACTTTAAAAATTTACTATGGCCGTCCTAATTAACCGATTTCAATTTTTCAAAAACCATTTGAACGGTTGAGCGGTCTTTTCTATGTGAAAAAAATTTCAAGTATCTAGATTCTTTATTTGAGGCCGTGCAACATTTTGAAAATTCGAAAATTTTTTCTCAAATTTTTTTTCAAAAAATTATTTTGCGAAAACTATAGAACCGATTTTAATGAAATTTGGTCTGTTGTTTTATTATACTCTAAAGATTTTTTTACCAAAATGAGAATGCCCTCGGAGCAATTAAAGTATTTAAAAAAAATTGTCCAATAAAATTCGATGATTTTGCCTTTTTTTTCATCAATTATTGCTATTTTGTAACATCGGTAATAAATTTAAACATTTTTAGCCTAAGTATATTGTACAAAATTCAATTCTAAAACTATTTTTCCTTTTCAATATTCTTCCAAAATGCATAGGTTCCAAGATATAAGTAAAAAACTTAAATAAAATAGGTATTTTTTAAAATTTTTTTAAACATTTTTCCTATTTTGAAAATGGACCTCGCCCAGATCTAGGGATCTACACTTTTATTTTGTGAGTTGTACTGAAGGTAATCCAGAAAAAAAATGCTTGCCCCCTCTCACATCCACCTCAAAACAGATTCGCCCTGGTCTATGTAGAATACGAACTAGAAGTTAAATATAGAAAATGTGGGGTCTAGCAAACGATAAGACGTTAGTCATGAGAATTACGAAGTCCTTATAAAAAAAATCTTAATAAGGAAGGAAGTTTTTAAATAATAATTTATTTGCAACAAGAACAATTGGAATGAACAGCTTTGTTGTCATTACATCTCGGGAATAAGTATTTCTTTCAGTACCAAACTCTCCTGAGGTAACAACATGACTGAATTCTTAAAAATTTGCCTGAAATGAAATAAACAACAATAATATAAGTCTTACAGTTTATCTGACCCTGTTTAATACCATCTTAACTAATAAGGGAATTATTTCCTGATATTATATATTTACTACAATGTGTTACTCACCCATTAGTGTATTGAGAATTGGTACTGCTGACCAGCAATTTAAAACATACGTCGCTAACCTTCAATGTCCTTTTCCTTGATCTTTCCATGTTAAACAAGAATACATACGAGTCCTTTCCCTGAAACCTTTTCCTAACAATATGCAACACATTTTTGTTCGCGCTTTTGGCTTCTACAAACACATTGTCATATTCACTTATATTTTCATGTAGTTTGATCATATCTTTGTAAATGTTATAATGGCTTCTCAATCCTGGAGTCCTCTGGGAAGCGAGATTGATAATTCTGAACTTCCTACTGACTGGAAGCCAAGGCTTACCTCCACTGTTAAAACCAGCGTTGACAGTGGCATCCCATTGGAGCGGAGTTCGTTCATAGTCCCTGGTTATCAGATCAAAACTTGTACAGTTGTTCACTTTAGGATCTGTACCTTCTTCACATTTTACCTCGCCGTTCTCTTGTCCTATTTCTTCTCCATAATAAACAGCTGCTATTCCTGGTAGAAATGTTACCAACATGTTATAACCGTCCACGTTACCCAATCTAGTCGGGCCTCTGTGGTTGTCGTGGTTTGACAGCTGAAAATCACAATTATGCCAACTTCTCTTCATCAAAATTATATCAGTACTTACTCCCCAGTTCAAAGGATATTGCTTATCTAAATCATGTGTCCACATTTCTATGAGATTCTTTATATGGTTCGCTGTTGAGTTGTAGTTAAGGTAAGTAAAGTCAAAATTAAATGTGAAATGTGCACCCAATTCTGCCCCATCATTGTTTCCATAATACAACTTAATTTTGTTGAAATCGCTGTAGGCTTCTGTGACGATAATCCTATAAAGAGAAAAAGAAGCACGTAAAGGTTGTGGCATATCCTTCAAATGAAAATAAGATTCACCTTTCTTCCCCTTGGTGGTTCTTGTTGTAATCGTCAATGAAAGATCTAATTTCATAAACACATTCGTAACTTTCATTGGTGTCCTTGGTATAAACATGGTCATAATGAAACCAGTTTCCTGGATCAGGATTCGCTATGTCAGGAAGAAAAGGTTCATCAAGTAAACGTGGATCTTCAATCAAATATGGCACAGCGTCTACTCTGAAACCTGCTGCACCAAGGTCCAAGTAAAACGTCAGTACTCTCTAAAATAAATTCTATTCAATATTATCTGAAACTTAAATTACGTTACCTTTAATTCATCCATAACGTCTTTATTACGTAGATTTAGGTCTGGTTGGGATGGATCGAATTGGTGGAGGTAATATTGTTGTCTCTTTTCATTCCAGGTCCACGAGGAGTTCGAAAACACACTGATCTATAAATAACTTACTTTTGGACGCTCTAAATATACTTAAACATTCTGCCTCTTACCCAGTTGTTTGGTGGTTTACGATTTCCATTTGAATCAAACTTAGGATCGACCCATACGTAGTAATCCTCATACCCAGGCTCATAGTTAACAGAATTATTAAACCAATAATGCTGATCGCTTGTATGATTCGGCACTAAATCTAAGAGGATTTTGATCCCGAACTGCTCAGCTTTTCTAAAGAGCTCGACCAAATCGCTCATGTCACCGTAGATGGGTTCTATAGAGTAATAGTCACTGATGTCGTAACCATGGTCGATTTGAGGTGACTTAAAAACGGGTGACAACCACGCCACTGTAACTCCCAGATCCTTGAGGTGGTCTAATTTTTCGATGACTCCTCTCAAATCTCCAACGCCGTCGTTGTTGTTGTCTTTGAAGGATCTGACGTAGACTTGGTAAAATATCCCGTTTTTGTACCACCCGGTTTGGGCAGTAGAAGCAAAAATAACGTTAACACTTAGAACTACCAGAAATTTGGTTTGCATTTTCTACTTTCGGTATTTTAGTGAATTATGGAAAGATATATGTGTACGATGGAAGACATATTTGTTCAATGAGTTAAAATGCGTACGTACTAAATGATATAGACGGCAATTAGGTATATGTAGATAAACTTTATCAATAGTACTGTCCTAGTCATATGTGACGTCGATTTCTCATTAGCATGTGCTTTATGAAGTTAGTTACCAAAGGCAATTTTGATAGTATTACAATTATTCATGAAACACGTAAATTTTAATTTAGATACAATTCATTTCTTATCGGGTTTTTTATTCATCACCTAGTTCTAACATTTTTTTTTTGTTTCAGGTAATGCTATCTATCTACAATGAATTCGTCTGATCCAAAAGGTAACTTACCAAAATTGGTTTTAGCGAACTTTTTGCTGTTATGCACATTCTCTTATTTTATAATTCAGTTGATCTGTTTTGGTTTTGGTGAATCGTATATCCACGGAGATTTTTGGCTTTCATATATCACTTGAAATGAAAATTTTTCTATGCGCATAAAAAAACGTGGGCTTAACTTTTGGCGGCACAATATGTTAAAAAAATTCGAAAAATGTCATATTTTTCTTCCTATTTAATTATGTATCTTTTCAAGGGTTGATTTTAGGCGAAAATGGAAGAGGAATAAAATGTTTGTAATTAAATTTTTTACAAAATATGACTAGTTCGATGACCAAATCCATTCGTTCGAAGAAGTAGAAGTAGAAGCAGAAGTAGAGTGCGAGAATGAGGTGTTAGACAAAGCGGAAATTAATAATTATTTTGTGTTTGAAGATGAAGAAGTTGATGAATATAATATCGAAGAAGAAAACGAAATCCCATGTAAAAAAGTTCAATTAAATTCTTAATATATATTTTTATACATATAAATAAATATAATATACATTCATAAATTTAAAACAAAAATTTGTGTACATTTTTTAAATCCTGATTTATTAATGCAATTAAGTATGAATAAAATATNATCATTATAAAAGTATAATTCAAATATTATTTATTGTTTAAAATATAAGCAAATGAGAAATTAACTCATTATGTTACTAATTTTCGAAAAATTTTGAAAATAATTGTTGTTTAAACAATTTTAGAATATTTAAATAAATTTAACTCAACGATTCAATTTCGAGCAGGCCGAAGCGGCCGCGCTCTCTACTTCCCCCACCACCACCACGATTTTCTTGAATTTCTCGCTTGCATAAATAACTTTAAACACGTTTTAAAGTAGGTTGCCAATGAAGAAAAGTATTGCAAACTTACAATTAGACCTGGTAAGTACTCGGAATACCAAAGGTATTTTTCGGAAAATTAGCCAGGGTGTCCCAGTACATTTAGTGTAAATCACGGTTAACTTTGATCTGCTATAACTACGTAATTAATTGGCCAATCGATCTGTTTTTTTTTAAAGAAGCGTCTTTCCAAGAACTTTTAAAACCTGTTTTAAAAAATTTGATTTGGTTAAATATTCACAAAGTTATTCTAATTGTTTATAAGTACAAAAATTCGACCGATATTTAAACAAGCGCCAGAGCACTCCTAATTGACGGATTCGAATTTTTCAAGAAGCGTCTGAAAGCTTGAGAGCCCTTCTATATGTGTTTAAATTTTCAAGTATCTAAGGGCCTTGGTTTTTGCTGTCAAATTTTGAAAATTTACAAATTTTTTTCAAAATTTGGATTGCAAAATTATTATGCAAAATCTATCGAACCGATTTTGATGAAATTTGGTTTGATGATTCTAGATAACATGAAGTTTTCTTGAGCCAAGTATGAAGGTGCTATACCCAATTTAAAGACCCCAAAAAAATTCCCTAAAAAGTAATGTTTTTTAGCCGCATTTTTCAAGATTCATTCGATTTGTAACTAGTCATATTTTGTAAAAAATTTAATTACAAACATGTTTTCCTCTTCCATTTTCGCCTAAAATCATCTCTTGAAATATGACATTTTTCAATTTTTTTTAACATATTGTGCCGCCAAAAGTTAAGCCCACGTTTTTTTATGCGCATAGGAAAATTTTCATTTCTAGTGATATTTGAAAGCCAAAAAGCCAAAAATCTCTGTGGATATACGATTCACCCAAATATGGACTTTTTGAAACAGATACCGCCTGGACTAGTTGATATTTCGCGTAGCGAGTAGCGATCACTAACTAACGGTGTATTTCGCCGACCTATGCCCTCTTGTAAAATAAGGCTCGCTACAGCCGTCTGCTGAAAGTATGCCGTAACTCGGCTCTAGGATTTAGCTATCGCCCACGGATATAAATTTAATCGATAAGACAATACCAGCCAAGGAAACCCCTATAGTCGCAGTAAATTTCGTCTTCTAAAATAAAACAGGTTGAAATGGCCTCGTGAGCTTTAAGGCAACGGTTAAGGGGGAGAATTAGTGGGGAAGTTTAAATTAAGTGATGATTTTTTTTCATCCATTATCAAATTTAAGTCGTGATTTATTTACAATGAGAAAAATTGGAAGCAAATGTTTTGCTGCAAGGATACTCTGGGATTATTTCCTTCAGAACCAAGCTCTCCTGAGGTAACAGCGTAATTGAACTATTTCTAAAAATTTGCCTGAAATTGATTAATTAAACTATATAAATCACTAAGGTGAGGAAAATTACTCACCCATTAGTGTACTGAGAATTGGTACTGCTGACTAATAACTTAAAAAACGTGTCGCCAATCCTCAAAGTCCTCTTCCTTGATCTTTCCATATTAAACAAGAATACATACGTATCCCTTCCCTTGAGTTTTTTTCTAACAATGTGTAGCACATTTTTGTTCGCGCTTTTGGCTTCTACAAACACCTCATCGTACTCACTTATATGTTTACGCAGTTTGATCATATCTTTGTAAATATTGTAATGGCTTCTCAATCCTGGAACATTCTGGCAAGCTAGGTTGGTAGTCCTGAATTTTCTCCTGATGGGCAACCACGGTTTAGCTCCGCTGTTGAACCCAGCGTTGACAGTGGCGTCCCATTGAAAAGGGGTTCGTTCAAAGTCCCTAGCGATTAGATCAAATGTTGCACAACTGGTTACTTTGAGATCTGTACCCTCTTCACAGTTCACTTCACCGTTTTCTTGACCGATCTCTTCCGCATAGTACGTAATGGATATGCCTGGTAAAAATGTTACCAACATGTTGTAACCGTCCACGTTTCCCATTCTCGTCGGTACTCTGTGATTGTCGTGATTCGACAGCTAAAAATAGAGTTTGAGACCTTTCCAAAAAAAACATGTTACTACTTACTACCCAATTCATATATTTCTTATCTAAGCCCGATGTCCATGTATCTATTATATTCTTCACGTCGTTCGCTGTTGAATTGAAACGAAGATACGTAAAGTCAAAGTTGAATGTGAAATGGGCCCCTAATTTCGTCCCATCGTGATTTTCGCAATACAGTTTGGTTTTGTTGAAAGCAGTGTAGACTTCTGTGAGAATAATCCTACGGATATAACAATGCGAATAGTTTTATCCTTGAAGTGAAATGAACACTTACTTTTCGTCCCCATCAAAGTTTTGGTTGTACTTGTCAATGAAGGATCTAATTTCGTAAATGAATTCGTAGCTTTCATTGGTGTCCTGGGTGTAAATGGGATTGTAGTGGAGGCGATTTTTTGGATCAGGATGTTCTATGTCGGATCGGAAAGGATCATCTAGTAAGTCTTTATTTTCAATCAGGTACGACACAGCATCGATTCTGAAGCCAGCAGCGCCAAGGTCCAAGTAAAAAGTCGATATTTTCTAAAATAAACATGTAACAAATTATTCAAAACATGATATTGCGTTACCTGTAACTCTTCGACGACATCTTTATTACGTAGATTCAGGTCTGGTTGGGAAGGGTAGAAATAGTGCAGGTAATATTGTTGCCTCTTCTCATTCCACGTCCATGTGGAGTTTGAAAAAATAGCGATCTACGAAAGCACCAGCTTATTTTTCGGAAGAAAATAACGTATCTAATTCTTACCCAATTAGTTGGTGGTTTTCGGTTACCATTCGCATCAAACTTAGGATCTGCCCACACGTAATAATCTTCATACCCAGGTTCACAGTTAACAGACTTTTTGAACCAATAATGTTGATCGCTCGTGTGGTTCGGTATTAAATCTAAGAGGATCTTGATTCCAAATTGCTCAGCCTTTCTAAGGAGCTCGATCAAATCGCTCATATCACCATAAATGGGATCTATGGAGTAATGGTCACTAATGTCGTAACCATGGTCGATCTGAGGCGACTTAAAAATGGGCGACAGCCACACCACCGTGACTCCTAGATCACTGAGGTAGTCCATCTTCTCGATGACACCCTTCAGGTCTCCAATTCCGTCGTTGTCGCTGTCTTTGAAGGATCTGACGTAGACGTGGTAGAATACACTGTTTTTGTACCAACCTGTGTTGGCGGTGTAAACAGATATTATGTTAACAGTTAAGATTACAAGAAATTTGGTCAGCATTTTTTGCTGCTGATGTTAGAAATATTTAACTGTTCTTCAAATAAAATATATTTGAATAAGAAATCGACGTACTTGTCCCATGGGTGGAAATAAGTAATTGGGAATTATGCGATGTAGCAATGAATTAAGTAATGTAAATAATTGCTTTTTTATCATGTTATAATTATACCTGAGGCCATATGTCTTTATCGAAGCCTTTATAAAATTAGGAAACTATTAAGGTAATTATTAGACGCATTTTAATGGTAATGCAATTTATTGATAGACTTAATAGTTTCCACTTGAACGATATGACAATGTCTATTTAAAAAATGTTGGAAATTTCTACGTTATTTGTAGTTTTTTGTTTGTTATGGACCCTAAGCTTGTTTTACAGAAGCAGTTATTGCTTTTGATAAATTAAGGGCGTGGTTAAAATGTTGCCCCTTATTTCTGGGACGCCTTATATATACAGGGTTACAACTTTTTATTTGTCCAATACAGGTATCTCTCTTATTTTAAGAGATGCAGAAATGGTTAAATGTGAAAAATTGTACATACTTTTATGCCGATCATGGATTCGTTTAACTTTAGAAAATTCCGAACAGTTCCGAAGATATTCGAAGGAAACCGATTATATGCTATTTATTTTTTTAGTCGTCTTTCACTTGTTTTTCAAAATTTTTAGACAAAAATGTGTAGTTTGATATTAAATGATGTGAGGAATCGATTTTTACTGTCAGTCATAACGTATTTCTATAAATGTGCGCTAGTTGTAGTAAACTTTTGTTATTATTATGGACGCCATATTAAATGTTTGCTTTACTAGAAGAAAAGGAAAATTCTCTTTTTGTAAAACTTTTATTAAAAATGACATTTTTAATTCATTCATAAGTGAACTAAAAATTGACTTTTATAATGTTACAGTTAAAAACACTGTTAACGCTAGTGTAAAAAAACTTTTAACACTAGTGTTAAAAATAAAATGCTAAATACTATACAGGCTGTAACAAATTCGCTTCTCACTACAGGGATCTCGGAAACGTTAAGAGATACGAAGTAGCTTAAATGGGGGCAATGTTGCATAATCAGGGGACCAACATTAAGGCTCTAAAGATCAAGGCTAACATGATTATATTTCGAAATATTTGAAAAAAACGAAATTTTGTTTCATTTCGGCCTTGTTTGAGGTGATATTGAAAAAAGAACACTGAAAAACGTCTGAATCTGATTCGGGCTGAGGCAGTACAGTATTGGGGGTAATGAAGGCTTGCAACAAATGTAATAAAATTTGTAGGATCGTATTTAAAAAAATGAAGTTGATGATGGTTCTAGAGGGACGAAACGTTACATATAAAAATTGATTATGCCAGTCGCAACTTTGTCATCATTTAAGCTACTTCGTATCTCTTCTATGTTCGAAGTGCATTTTTCCTCATTAAACCATTTCTGTATCTCTAAAAATAAGAAAGATACCTGTTTGGACAATTAAAAAGTTGTAACCCTGTATACATTGAGAGAAAAAATTCATAAAACTGGAAGGGCGAAGGAAATAAACCAAACTTGTTTAATTGATGATTGTTTCATCTGCTAGATTAGGTGTAACGTTAATTTTTTTACTTAGCGCCTTCGACCGACCTTGAAAATTGGAAGCGTTGTTTAATTACCGTCTTAATTCCCTTTTGTTCAACAAAACGAAACGATTCGCCGCGTTTTCTCGAAACCCCGCTGTTTGTTGTTATTTTACCTTCTCCTTCGGCCCGAACAAAGCCCATGAAAAAGTGATTCCGGCAACTCCGAGACGCGTATTATTCTCCTAAGCTCTTTTTAATTATTCCGGCCGAGGCGGAGTTACTTCGGCGTTAGACGCAACAGCCATTAATAATAGAAATGTAATTCGGTCGCACGCAACGGCCGCTAAATAAATTTGTTAATATTAATACGGCCCGGAACGTCGCGTAAAAGTTCACGTGCCCCCTCTGGGGTTATTGAAAATTAATATATGCAAATTAACTCCGGGATTGTGCGTGTTTCTTGGTTGTTGGGAAGGCGCGCTTTTCGATCGCCCCTGATTGTTAGTACAACAGCCGTTTTAACTCAAACGGGCGAAATTGTTTTCTCTAGCCGCCGCCGGACGGCAATTACTTCAGTTTTGGCGTGGTTTGTAATCTCTTTTTAACCGGATGAAAACGCGTTTTCGTTACCGTCCATCACGTGATAACAGTTCTAGGACACTTGTTAGAAACGTTGTATATAAGGGTGGGCCATTAGTTTGAGAAAGTACACTAACTCCCTTGTTAGTTATAATACAGAAAGAAAGTTTATATAAAAGTTGTACAGAATCAAGAAACCTAAACTACAAAATTAATTTCAAACATACAGGGCGATGAGTAAAAACGGGACACGCCAAATATTACATTTTTAAATGGAACACCCTGTATATTTTTAAACAGTTGGATTTCTGAGAAAATTCTATATATGGTAATATAAACAGTTTAACACTTCAATGCGGCGTTGCTAAGTTATGTAGAAAATTCTTAGAATTTTGGAAAAACATGACCTCGAAGAAATTGTATTAACTTTCAACTACTAACACTTGCAGCAAAAATATTTGACAGAGTTATAGGCAAATGTTATACAAAGGCTCCTATATTAGCCAATATCGCTATTTTATACAGGGCATTTTTTATAAGTCGATAATTTTTAGAAAGTTCAAACTTGATTTTCTAAAATTTTTCAAATGGAACACCCTATATTTTATTGTTCTATTTTATTCGCATATAATTACACTTCAACTTTTATTAAGCATTTTCTATATCTAAAATTGTTAGTTTTTAAGATATGGCAACATTTCTGAAAAGACTTAATTTTTATTATTTTCGGTCGCACGAGATGGCTTTGGAAAAAACTGTCACATTGTGTCAACTTGTCAGTTCATAATTTATCATTCCGAATCATTTTATTAGTTAATATTTATTAGTGGGTATACTATAAAATAATTTAATTATACTACATACTTGTGTATGAAAAAACATAGTTTATTTATTAAATGGAAATAAAATAACAAAACAGATACGAAAATAAATCAAATATTTAATTTTACAACAAGTGTTCAAAATGACGGCCGTCTTGGTTTAGACATAGCTCTACACGTCGTTCAAATGTGGTATTAACATTATTCAGAATATCAATGATGATATTTTGAAAAACTCGTCGAATTCGGTTTTTCATATCCTCTTTATTAGTAGGGGGAGTTTGATATACCCGATCTTTTACATATCCCCATAGAAAATAGTCCATTTTTGTCAGATCAGGCGACCTGGCAGGCCAACTAATTGGTCCACCTCTTCCAACCCACTTCTCTGGAAATTCATTGTTTAAGAATCTACGAACTTCCTGCGTGTGGTGTACCACATTCTCTGACGAATATTTAGCGGTATATTTTCTAGTAAACTTTCCATAGTATTTTGTAGAAAATGAAGATATAGTTGCCCTATTAAATGTTCTTCGAAAAAATAAGGCCCAATAACGTAATGTCCAATAATCCCGCTCCAAACATTGAGTGATCACCGGATTTGACTATGTGTCATAAGCAACGCATTTTCAGAAGCATAATAATGAAAATTGTGTTTGTTCACGCTTCCATTTTCATGAAACGTTGCCTCAAAAGCACATAATTAAAAAAAGCCTATCTTCATTCATTTTTCTTTGGGCCCAATTACAAAATAACTAATAACTAATAATAAACTAATAAAATGAACACAAAATGGAATGATAAATTATGAACTAACAAGTTGACACATTGTGACAGTTTTTTCCAAAGCCATCTCGTGCGACCGAAAATATAAAAATTAAGATTTTTCAGAAATGTTGCTATATCTTAAAAACTAACAATTTTAGGTATAGAACATACTTAATAAATGTTGAAGAGGACCGATATGTGAATAAAATAGAACAATAAAATATAGGGTGTTCCATTTGAAAAATTTTAGAAAATCAAGTTTGAACTTTCTTAAAATGATTGTAGAAAATTGAAAGAGAATCCGAAAATATCGTGGTTGTTACCGTGAAGCAGTGGCGTACTATTTTAATTAGAAAAATTTTCCACCGACTTTATAGAAAAGACCCCTTAAAATTCACCAAAGAATACGATTTTTGGTCACCATTTGTGAATCACCCTGTATAATTCATGTCTTAAATTTAAAATCGATATTAACTGCTAAAATCTTACGTGTATAATAAAAGTAATAAACTTTCAGTAAAAACTAGTGCTATTAAGTATAACAACCTTTTTTTTTTAGAAAATATTTTATTATCTTACATCCAAAACTTTTTTGGGCAAGTGGTTAATCACCCTGTATATATTTTATTTTTTTCGAATCGAATTCCCTCCGAACATTTTTGTATCCTTGTAACACTTTTTTTATTTCGTATTAAAAATCTTCCATTACAATTTGCAAGTATTTCGTCAGGGTTTATTAAATATTTCTCCCAACAAGGAGACCACCGAAAATCATCAGTCTTTCCCCAGGGGACCACCCTAATATTAGGTGCCGTAGGGGCCTGGTACTGGTCGCCGTTGGGGACGACGTCGTCGAACTTGCGCGAGGACAATGGTCAACAGGAGAGAGGGGCCACTTGAGGAAATTGATGCTCCGTGCAAATACTCCGCATTGATTAAAATCGTGTTCGATTGTAGGAATCGGGTGAAGACCAAACAATGTCGTAGTGTTGGGCTATGTACAGTGTACACGAAGTTAAAGTAGGGGCTATTCTGATCGAATCCTTGCAAAAATCTTTGTCCGATGGGAAAAATTTATAGCAGTTCGTAGAGAATAGATAGGATCAAGAAAAGGATAATAAGGAACGATATAAACGGAATGTTTCAACATGTGAGCATGGAAATTCTAAATTCAAAAACCAATAAACCTCGAATTTTTATTATTGATGGCTATTGGATTAGATCTAAGTAGTAAAATTAGAGTCGTCTGTTCAGTTCAGCGTTTATTCAAGAAATAACTCATCATGATACATATTTTCCCAGTTACCAATATAGGTACCTCTTTGAGAAATGGACTAGGCGGTATCTGTTTTG